TGACCAGCGGACACCGGCGGAGGTAGAAGAACAGGAGCTGGGTGCACTGTGACGTAATAGTGGTCAGGTCCTGGTCAGTGACATGCTGGCAGTCGGTCATGTCCAGGTAGCGGAGGAAGATCCGCTGGAGGTGTCGGGAGGCGCTCTGTGACATCACAGACTCGGTCAGCCGGATACAGGTCACCAGCGGACAGCCTGGCGGGAGTGGTTTTAGTTTTAGTAAGAGTTTTACGGCACTTACAACACAATAAGGTCATATTATAAGTACCGAAGATTAGAAGTGTTACAAAAGAGTAACAAACACAAAAAAAAGAAGGAGGAGGGGAGATACAGAAGATAGATTTTTTTATAGGAAGGAAGGAGCAAACCACACCAGGGAACCCGCCAACCACCCACGGCGGGAGCGGCGTGGACGAGGTCGAGGTGGGTAGGAAGAAAAAGGGTGTGGGTGGCCGGAGGTGGGCAGGGAGAAAAAGGGTGGGGGGTACCGTAGGGTGGGGAGGACTATGTGGTTATTGGGTGGGTTTTAGTGAAGGTTTGTACACAAAATATGTCTGAAAATTGTGTGAGTGTGTGTGTGTGTGTAAGGGTTTGAGTGTGCGTGTGTGCATCAGTGTCACAATCTAGGCCTACTCAGTGTGTGTGTGTGTGTGTGTGTGTGTGTGTGTGTGTGTGTGTGTGTGTGTGTGTGTGTGTGTGTGTGTGTGTGTGTGTTTGAGTGTGCATGCGTGTCTGCGTGTGTGTGTGTGTATAAGTGTGCGTATGCCTCGGTGAGTGGGGGTATATCTGAGTGTGTTTGAGTGTATGTTTTGCGCACGTGCGCGTGCGAGTGTGTGTGCTTCGGTTTTGTTTTAGCAGAGCTTTTGCACACAGCCATGGCATACACAAATTCTTCACCACTTGTTAATTACGTCATGAGCACCGGTCCAGCAGCGCTGATGGAATGGCTGTTTCTGTTCCCTTCTTTTCTCAAACCAGAGATTTCTTTCAACTCGTTAGAGAACAATCTTTTTCTGCTAGGCTACTCTGTGCACACACGACACGTCACCCAATAGACGTGTTAAGTACGAAAGTCATACTCTTGCGACAAAGGTCACACTTAGTTGTTCTAGTGGTTCAGTGTTGCGGTGAGCACAATATACTGAACACGCCATGAGGGACGTTAAGAGAAACGGAAAGTTTGCTTCAAGGGGCACAACCGAGTTTTTATAACTCAATAACGCAATTGTTTCCCTTAGTATCGTTCTGGTCCAACATTTTATGAGAGCCCCTTATTCTTAGCACGTCTTCTTTTGCTCTTTCATGACATCAGACTGACTGTCGTGCTGGTGTAATCGAGAACGAGGAAGAAAAAAGTTGTTTTTTGTGTTTTGGTTAGAGTTTTTTGTTTTAGTTTTAGTAAAAGTTTTACGGCACTTGCAACACTATAAGGACATATAAGAGCCGAAGATTAGATGTGTTACAAGAGAGTAACACAAAAAAAAAAGAAAAAGGGAGAAAAAGACGATAGATATTTGTTAGAAAAGAAGACGCAAGCCACATCAGAGCACCCGCCAACCACCCATGGTAAGTGTTTTACGGCGCTCCCGACTGCATAAGGTCATATAAGAGCAGGATTCTGTGCGTGTCTTTAAAGTAGGAGATTGTTAAAACTAAAACACATTATATTGTTGAAACGATTCAGACAAATTTGGCAGAACGGAACGACAACTACCACCACCGCCATGATTCACGAATACCAATATCAACAATTACAACAACAAAAACAACAACAGCAGCAACAACAGAAACACTGAGGACGAAAACGCCACCAAGATCACGTTCACTATCACCATCATAGTTGAACAATAGGAAAAACAGAAGGAGACTTAGATCTAGATAAATAAATACACATAGTTTATGTGTATGTGTATGTGTGTTTGTGTGTGTGTGTGTGTGCGTGTGTGTGTGTGTATGTATGTGTGTATGTGTGTGCGTCTGTATGTCTGTGTGTATGTGTGTATGCGTGTGTGTGTGTGTGTGTGTGTGCGAGTGTGTGTATGTGTATGTGTGTGTATGTATGTATTTGTGTATATGTGTATATGCATGTGTGTGTGTGT